CGAGAGAGGCACCGGTCTGTGGACGAACAGCAGGAGCAGATCCGCCTCAAGCAGTTCCTTCCAGTTGGGTAGCTCGTCAAGATGCTTGTCTCTTCCTCACACCTGATGATCACCTGATGCACATGATGCTCTGAGGCATCTCCTGGTCCGGGGCATCTGTCATGCTTGCTGCGGGGCAGGGGAGCACGAGTGTGGGAGCTGAGGGGCTTGTGGAGCCAAACAAATCGCTGCAAGACACAAAAACAAGAACCCTGAGTTCAATGGCTGTCATCAGGGAACTACCCGGCAAGCTTACTCAGGTTGGATGAAGCTTTGGCTTTAGCCAAACACTCGAAGAGGTGTGTTGCTTTCTCACTCAGGACGAGTGGACTCTGTGGCGCAGCATCATCAACGTCCATGCCCGGATCATCATCCGAAAAAAGCTCGTCAACCAGTCGCTCAAGCTCTAGCTCCAAGTCATCGGCCTGGTGACGTGGTAAGTCCTGGGTGCTGCCTTCTGGCTGGTGACGTGGTAAGTCCTGGGTGCTGCCTTCTGGCTGGTGACGTGGTAAGTCCTGGGTGCCATCTAACCCAGCTGTGCTGGTGTCACGAGGCAGAGTCTTTGGGGCTTCCTCTTCAGCTGAAGCCTCCGGCTTTGTGCTGGTGTCACGAGGCAGAGTCTTTGGGGCTTCCTCTTCAGCTGAAGCCTCCGGCTTTGTGCTGGTGTCACGAGGCAGAGTCTTTGGGGCTTCCTCTTCAGCTGAAGCCTCTGGCTTTGTGCTGGTGTCACGAGGCAGAGTCTTTGGGGCTTCCTCTTCAGCTGAAGCCTCTGGCTTTGCGCTGGTGTCACGAGGCAGAGTCTTTGGAGCTTCCTCTTCAGTTGGAGCCCTTGGCTTTCGAACCCTGTTGGCCTTGGGGTTGCGAGTCTTTGGGGTTACCTCTTCAGTTGAAACCTTTGGCTTTGTAGCTGTTTTGGCCTTCGGGGTTCGGGTCTTTGGGCTTGCCTCTTCAGTTGAAGCCTTCGGCTTTGCACTGCTTTTGGCCCTCGGTTTTCGAGTCTTTTGTGTTGCCTCTTCAACTGCAGCCTTTGGTTTGGAACCTTTTGTGGCGCTTGGCCTCGGGGTCTTTTCAAGGATACAAGCTGCTGATGTACCCGGTGGCTTCGTGTGCGGCAGAAGCTCCACTGCGCAGGCTTTGCAACGGTTGCCTGCAGTGAGCACGCCAGAGTTGACCGCTGCCTCCACGAGCGGCGAGGCAACAGCGGCCAGCTGCACTGGCGAGAGAGCGTTCCCGATCGCATGCAGGGCATGGGTGTCTCTCGAGAACAAGGCCGCGTGGCTTGCACGCTGCCCCAGAGCGCTGCACCGCTCAGCGATGCTGAGCCACCTGTGCAGTCGCATGACCTGCCATGGCCTCGACAAGTCCTCGCAACTCAGAAGAAACAAAGGTGGCCCCGTAGTCCTCAGTGATGGGATCTTGCCCCACCCCCACTCCACAACAACCGTGTTCGAGGGCAGCGGCTTGCCTTGGGCACGATGCTCTTCGATGCACTGAGATATGGTCTGCTTGTACAATGCGAGGTTAGCAGCGTGCCCTGCACACAAACTCTGCACATCGGTCGCAGCCAAGCTCAGATCCAAAATCTCTTCCACTGTGACTGCCGGGAGCAGATCCGTGCAGCACAGGGGGGCAGGGAGGAACGCCTGCATGGGGTCTGGCAGGCAGTCTCTCCTTAGCCCTCTGATGAAAAAACGACCTCTCTTGACTGGCAGAAACTCCGCAGCATCCTTTTTCACGGTGTCTACCAAGAAATATGGCAGTGACACTTCAAGTCTCAAGAGCATCTCATTCAGAAACTCAGCATGGTTGGCATCAGCCAAATGTGAGCTGTTTTCCAGAATGAAAAACAGAAGACAGCCACGCGAGCCTTCCTCACATATTATCATGCTTACAACTGATTCAAAAACATCTGTGCGGCCTTTTTCGTCCTGGGCGCCCTGCCTTAAACCTGTGGAGGCAAAAGGCTGACAAGGGGGCCCGCTTATCAAGCCTTCCGCACTTGACAGTTTTGACAGCACGACATTCCTCTCGATGTCCCCTTCTTGCAACCCAGTTTGACTTCCGAAGTCCCCTGCAAACCCTGGTTTCGCAGAGCTCGCCAAAACGGCACCAAGTCCATGTTGAAATCGTAGGCTGCGCATGGCCTGTAAACAAGCCCTGCTTTCTGCATCCACTCTCGATAAGCAGAGATGCCTACACAGGGCTCAGCAACCACAGGTGCACGCCCGAGCTTTGAGCTCCAAGGACTCATCGCATACAGGAGCTTCGCTGCCCCAGTCTCCATCATGCTGCAACCCACTAAGAACAAAAGCTTGGCTTGAGAAAGAAAAGAAATCAGGATGATGGCTCCGGCTGTCTACGCTATTCTTGGAACTGGCTTTGCTCACTCTCAGTGACAAACTCAGGACTGATGTAAACATTTCCACCCACGGAAAAAGACAAGCAATCATGCAATGCAGTCTCTCAGTCAGGCAATTGGGTGGCACAGTCTACCCTTGCAATGCACTTGTTTCCATTTCCATGCAAGGCCTTGAGACAGGCAATCATGCAATCTCTGAGTCATGCAATTCGGCGACAGCATTCCACCGCAAACTCTTATTGTCTGCGACAGCATTCCACCGCAAACTCTTATTGTCGGCGACAGCATTCCAGCATTCCACCGCAAGCTCTTATTGCCGAAAAAAAAACCGCACTCAGATTCTGGACCCTTCCTTCCACCATTGCCACCACCAAGTGGTCCCATCATCTGTCTCCATTCGTTGACCCTTCCTTCCACCATTGCCACCACCAAATGGTCCCATCATCCGTCTCCATTCGTTTCCAGCACCACTTCCAAATGATAGTCGCAACCCTTTCCCCTCGCGGGGATCTGGATCGCTCGGATCGCTCCTGTGTGCGGCGGGTGATCACACTAGTGATCACACTGCTGCCCGCCTGCGGCTGGGTCGCATCAGTGATCACACTGCTGCCCGCCTGCGGCTGGGTCGCATCGGTCTCATGCACTGGAGAGTCACCTCGTTTGCGTTTGCCAGGCATACCCCTGGCGCTTTTTTTCTTTGCTGCTAACACAAACAAAGCCTCGAGAGAAAACGGCTGCTGTGCAAAGAGTTTAGAGGACGCAGAGGACATCATGAGACGTGGGCGGGACCGGGGCTGGGCGGAACTCGGGCGGGACAAGGGCGGGACATGGCGGGACGTGGGCGGGACATGGCGGGACATGGGCGGGACATGGCGGGACATGGGCGGGACATGGCGGGACATTGGCGGGACATGGGCGGGACACGGGCGGGACATGGGCGGGACATGGCGGGACACGGGCGGGACATGGGCGGGACATGGGCGGGACATGGCGGGACACGGGCGGGACATGGCGGGACACGGCGGGACATGGCGGGACACGGGCGGGACATGGCGGGACACGGGCGGGACATGGCGGGACATGGGCGGGACATGGCGGGACATTGGCGGGACATGGGCGGGACACCCAAAACGGCCCCACACACCCTCGGGCCCCGCCCCGGACACCTTTCCCGGGCCCCGCCCCGGACATCCCGGACACAACCCCGGACATCCCGGACACGACCCCGGACATCCCGGACACGACCCCGGACATCCCGGACACGACCCCGACACGACCCCGGACACCCCGAACACGAGACCCCCAAAGGTGCTAAATCCCCTGCAAACGCCCTCCAGAGCCCTCCCAGTGCCCCCAAAGCCCCCCCCCAAGACCCCCAGGGCCGCCCCCTTGAGAATTCACTGTGTTTTCTGTGTTCTGTCCTCTTGTGGCCTTAAAACCCTTTATGAGTTCAACATGCCCGGCAAAAACAAAACTGAAACGCTTCAGTAGTTGTTTTGCAACAAACGCTCGACCGTGATGATTCCTGGTTGTAGTTTTTTCTGGCTGTGCACTTGACCACACGCCCCGCCAGCCTGCTGAGAACGAATCTTTTTTGGCACGACTGTGCTCGGCAGTGCTTGGTGAGTGGAACACTGGAGCTACTTCCGACTTGGCCTTTTCAGCTTCAGTTGTGCTTGGTGCCTAAGGGTTCAGGTTTCCGGCTAAAAGCTTAAAAGCTGTAGTAGCTGTATTTTGCTTGGTGCCTAAGGGTTCAGGTTTCCGGTTTCCGGCTAAAAGCTTAAAAGCTGTAGTAGCTGTAGCTTTGCTTGGGGCCTGAAGGCTTTCGTGAGCTAAGGGCGGGTGAAGGCCAGTCGGGCTCCTACCCTACGGCCTGGCTCTACGGCCTAGCTACCGCGGCCTAGCCTCCTCTGCGAGAGCCGAATCTTAGGGCTCTGGGTCCAGGATCGCACGGATCTTAGGACACCAGGCCCAGGATTCTTCCTCTCGCCCAAAAATCTTCGATGTTAGGACTACTGCTGCTGCATGTCCAGCATCTTTGTGGTGGCATCGAAAAAGGCCAGCATCATCTGGGGGATCTGAGGGCTCTGGCTCTGACCCGCCACCATGGCCCGATCCCTTGGCGATGATTTGCTGCGGCCTAGCTGCCCTGTCGGCTCCTTCCGCGAATCGCGCCCACGGCGGCCGGAGCTTGCCGCAGGCTCGCTCGCCCTGCGGCTGCGGGAGCGGCCCGAGAAGCGTCGGTCCATGTGCTCGCTGCCGCGGGAGCTCTTGCGGCTCCCTCGAGAGCTTGCCTGGCCGCCGCCTTTGCGGCTCCCGAGAGCTTGCCTGGCCGCCGCCTCGAGAGCTTGCCTGGCCACGGCTCTGGCGGCTCTCACCACGGCTTCTCCGCCGCCCACGGCTGCCATCATCATCTCGGCTCTCTTCACGCCGCGGGCCACGTCTGTGCGGCGGCTCCTCCACACGCCCCCTGCTCCGCAGCTGCACCGGCGGCCTGTGTTGGCTCATGCTAGCCGCCCGGTCCTCCTTTGATGGCTGCTTCTTCCGCTTATTGTGCATGGCCTGCAAGCATTCCTTAGCCTCGTCGGAGTTCGGGTGCGTGCCCAGGCAGTGCTGCAGCATGTCCCACCTGCGCATGAACTGCCGTGAGCAGTGTCTGCACTGGCACGCACCCGAGCTCGCCTGCTCTTCCGCAGGCTTTTGGCCGGCCACATTTTGGCCGGCGGCGTGGAGCCGCCACTGGCGGCAGTATTCGCTGTTCTCCAGGTGGCTTTGCAGGCCTTCTTTCTTCACACACATCCAGCAGTGCTCGCAGCGAACGACATCTGCCTCGTCCGCTGAGTGCCGGCTGCGGTTCTTCCTCGCAGGCCGCGCTGCAGGCTCGCCCTCCGCCGCCTCCGCCTCCTTGTCTTCCTTGGGCTCCTTGGCCTTGCCGCTCTCTTCTCGTCGGCCTGGGCCTCGTGTGCCTGCTTGGCCTCCTTGGCAGCGGGGGCTGCACGGGGCTTTTCTTTCTTGCTGGAGGACTCACTGTTGCCTCCGCTGGAAGAGCTGCTCTCCTTCTTCTTCTTGCGCTTCTGAGCAGCCTCCTCCTTTTTGCCACCCTTTTCTTCTTTCTTCTTCTCCTGGTCGTGGTCCACCACCACGATATCATCCTTCCGCGACTGGGAGTCCGGCTCCTTGTCCTCGTCCTTCTTAGCCGCCTCCTCCTCCTCAGACTCCTCGTCGTCATCCTCGCTGCTTAGGTCCACCTGGCCAGGATTTTTTTTCGGCGCCGGCATTGCTGCAGCCCCCGAGGGGTTAGCAGCAACACCGCCACCTGTGGCTGCACCGTGGGCTGCACCCGTGCCAGCAAAAGGGGCCGCCGCCGCCGGCGGATGCGGCGGCAACAGCGCAGGCGGCCGGTGTGGGAGCTGCGCCTCGCCCCACTGGTTGTAGACCACCGGCACCCACCTGCGAGCAATTTTTTTTAAGGTGTTGGGGGTTTTGCTTTGCTTTTGAGAGGCTAATCTGTTCCAACAGACACCTGCAACTGCAACCTGGCTTGCTGCTACACCTATAGCGGGGACGCTAAACTGACTACTGTGCATCCTGTAGCTCCAGGGTAGCTTCGTGCAGCCCACAGACCAGGTAGCGTGCCGATCCATAGTGCAGCCTGGGAAATGGGTTAGCGTCGAAAACGCAGCCCGAAACCCAGGTGAGCACACGGTGGCCGCATCTGGCTCTGTGAGTTAGCAAGCTTCTTACTCTAGGGGCTTAAGGACTGCCTGGGTTTCAAAGCTTTGTAACTTTACAGGTTTCTCACCGCAAAGCTTTCGAGACTCGACTACACTTCTCCCTGCCGGCCTTCCGTAGTGGGAGAAATGCCAATGCATTGGCCCCTGCACAGCCCAAAGGAGCCGAAAGGGGCTGCGGGCAGTCACACATGCACGGGCAGTCACACATGCACACAGTGACCGAGGTACTCTTGCAGCAAACGGAAGCAGCACAGTCAGCCAACACGTGTCCTGCATCCAAACAATGCAACAAACTAAAAAAAAACCCTCAAACGTTCACTCTGACTGCCGTGTGTTGCATCAAGCGATCCGGAGCATCATGGCATCCACCTGCTCTTCACTTGGCTTGTCCGCAATGTGAGCTTCAGCTCTGCGGTGGTGAGCTGCTCGCATTTGCCAAGCAAGCAAAAAGGCAGCAGCCCGCCTGCGGCTGCCATGATGCCGTACAAACGTGTACAAGCGGCAGCCGCTGTGTGTCTCGCAAGCAACGAATGCTCGGAGCTGACCGCTGGAGTGTGTGAAATTGTCAAAATGCACTACCTGTGTCCTACCGCCTCCCAAGTCGATTTCTAGAGGAGCGACACGTCTACCACCGCTGGCCATGCTTGGCTGCGGCTCTTCTGCTTGCATGAGCTTTTCAGGCAGCTCTTGCACAAGCTCTTCTAACTCGGCATCATCAGCCTCTGGGTCAAGCTCCAGACCTGTAGCCGCATCTCTTGTCAAGCTGCGGCCAGCAGGTCTTTTTTTCTTCTGCGCGAACCGAGCATTGATTTCCTCTGCAGAAGCATCCCGCAAGCTGCTGAGATCGTCCTGATCCACCAAGAACTCATAATACTGCTGGGGGCCTTTCAAGTAAATGCCCGACAAGTTGCCGGGCTTTTCCCATATAAGCCGACTCAGCATCAAAGCTCTGAGGAAGGGGAGGCTGCAAACTAGAACGTCATCTGGAAGACGTTTCTCTCCCTGCTTGCGATGCCACGCTTCCCGGCCCAGCCCTGGCTCCCAGCCCAAGACAAACAACAAACGAATTAACTCCAACTTTGATCGGCCTGGCATCTGGCCTCGAGTCAAAGTCGTTTGGTCAAGCTCCCAAAGCAACAATGGCCGTGCCAGCACCAAGCTTGCACTGTAGGTCAACTTGCCCGTCAAGGCGACGGATACATCTGAGAACATATCAGTCTCGCAGATGACAAGACCTCGGTCACGCAAGCCTTCCAGTGCAACAGCATCGAAGTGTTCAAGGTCTGTGGCATACACAGCAGATTCAATGCCGATGGCCCTTGCTCGCAGCAACTCTTTGATAGCTTGCATTTCTCGGTCGCTACACGGAGCACCGTAGACCTGCAGCACCGCAGAGTCGTCCGCATTCTGCACGACATGGGCAGGGGGGTGCAGGATGTCGAGGGCATCTTCCACATGCGGATCCGGAGGCGGTCGACTCAACAAGCAGGCAGGATCGCTGTCTAAGACAATCTCTGGAAGTTTCTGCACTTGCGGCTCCTGCAGCAAACCTGGCTGCGTGGACTCGTCTCCCAGAGCCAAGGCCAGTTCCGCAGGCATAGCACGCCAGAGCAAACAGTTTGCACAAAAGGCTTTCAAGTTCTCTGCTGTGCACACCCGTGCCAAGTCGAGAACCTCGATCCGCACATTCGTGCACGCCACCCGCACATCTCCACCAAGGCCGTGCACGCCCTGGGAAACATCCACGTCGTGGAAACGCTGCACAACCACACAGCTGCGGCGGCCTAGCTTCGGGTCTGTGATGTGTGCAGCAGGTCGCGAAACACGAGCATCCGTTCTTGCTTCTGGCCTGGCATCCAGCACCGAGCAGAAAACCGAAGCACGATCACTTACCCGAGGGTGGACGTCGGCTCGCAGAATAGACAGCAGCACGTCGGTTCTGAAGGATGCGGCTGGGTCTTCACATCTCCGACCCCTGTCGACAAGTAGCTCAAAGACATGCGTGGACACACTGAAAAACACGCCCGTCGCCAAATGGCCTTTCAGCCAGTTCACTACCTGGTGGGAAGCACTCGGAAGCTTGAAGCTTCCGGCCAGTAACAAAGTCTGATCTCTCAAAGTTTGGCGGTAAACGGCATCAGCACGAACAGAGTCCTCGCAATCTTTGAAGTGGTCTTCCTCGCTATACCCGTACAAGCGGGAAAGCCTCTTTGGCGTGTCCATAAGTCGAACCTCTTCGTGAGTGAGCATGTGCTCCAGCAGGCTACTCCAAAGGCGCCTGCTGCGCCAATTGTTGACCAAGAAAGCGAGCTGTTTCTCATCTTCCAGCATCTCCAACACTTGATCTCTGCGCTTGCGGCTGCAGACAACTGCAGGCCCAGCCTTTGTGAGACCACGGTTTGCTGCAACCTTGACACCGACATGCTCTCTCTCCGTGTGTCGCTCGGACAAAGAAACAAAGGCATATTCCTGTACTCTCCAAAACAACGCTGGCCATCGATCAAGGGGCACGTCATCCTCCGAGTTCAGAAACTCTCGGAGCATGCGGCCTGTGTCGGTTGGTCCAAACAAAGCATGTGTAACAGAGTCTAGAGCGCCGACTTGGCCACTGGAGATCATGTTGTCAACGTTCTGAAGATGTGGCCGAAGAACCTTTTTCACTCGGCCCCAAGTCTCGCCCATATACCCCGCAAACGCTGCGGCAAACACCCATGGTACTTGCTGAGCATACGCAAGCTTTTGCTGGATAACGGCAACAAATACTTTGTTGCACGTGTCCGCCATGTGCGCCATCCGACTTGCAGTTTCACTAGAACGAGACAAGAGATGCGCAAGAACACTAATCTCGTTGTTTGTCATGGCATCTTGCAAAGCTCCCTGGAGATTACCAACCGCAAGCCAAGGCAAGCGCCTGCCTTTCCAACAACAGTTTATCTTTTCCCAGTTTTCTGGGTCTGTCAGCTGCTCCTGATGGCAGTGACAACCCTCGAAAAAGTGGGCCAGCCTGGTGGCCTCGGCAGAGAACTGATGCGTCCACACTGCCATGTCGAAATGGCACTCGTCTGCCAACGCTTCCGTCACAGCTCGAATTGTGACTGACGAGCTGTCCCCACCAAAAACAGCTGGGTTCCAATATTTCTTGAAGGTGGGATATAGAGGAACCCAAACCTTCAGCACTCTTGCGAGCGAATCCCACCTCCAGTCTAAGAGGTCATCCATCCGATGCAACAGCCGTCTCTCCTCGGGGCTCGCATGCTTCATCATTCTCACAAGAATTAAATTACTTCTGAGTAACTCTTTTCTTTGCACACACGGGTGATGCTGTTCAACTGTTTCTCGAATTTTTGCCAGGTTTCAAGCTGCTTCAAGCTGAATTCCAGTGCGTTAAACACTATGTGTAGTGTTCCCGGTATGTGTAGAGCGGAATGAAAGAGCGGCAATTCACGAAAATCCTCCTGTATTGCCTCGCTCGCCAAAGCTTGAGCGCCCACAATACTCTGGACCTCAGAGCAACTGCGGACTGGAAACGATGCTATGCCTCGCTCCGTTCCTTGATCGATTAAGAAGCCCCGAACTTCCGAACGATACGTCTCAAAGAGAGACGCACCACTCTCAACGGCAATCATATGTACCATCTTGCTTGCCTTCGAAGCTGTGCTTCCTTGTCCTCTCGCAATTGTTGTACACAACATCGAACGCCTCTGGTGTTCAAACCCTTTGAAAGGAGCTACATTTCCACCCGCATCCCTTGGAAGCTCGTCGGAACGATAGAGCAGCAACTCTTCTGTCGCACAAAAATAATCATAATTCGCTTGCGGGGAACTGTCAGGACTGATGTACCTGACAATTCGCAGCGACTTGTCTGCCCCACCACCTGGTGTGGCAAGGAACCGGCGAGACAAGGAATGCAAGGCATCAAGCTTTAGCAAGATATTCCGCACATGCCCATGCGACACTTTCATGTTGTCTGCCAGACCTAAACTATCTGGCACTAACATTCGAAGGACGGTGCGAACCACATCTTGAATGCCTACCGTTGAGCTGAGCTTGTAAGCGAGCTTTCCCAACAGGATTTCTTGCATGTCCGGCCTGCGCACTTTCTTCATCTCGCAGGAGGAAGAGGAACCACTGTCGGCACCATCACTGGGGCTTCCTTCTGCCGCAGCAGGAACGGTTCCGGGCAACTGGTGACCCAAAGAAGTCACAAGCCCACCAGGAACCACGAACTCCTTGCCTATCTCCATCAAATGCTTCATGACAGTTGGTGGCAAGCGAACCATCCAGAAAGGACGCCCTAGGTAACGCCTCGCAGTGCCTACTTCAGGCTCCGCCGCCTGTCCGTCTGCAAAGCAAGGCCCTGGCGATCTGCAACGGCTTCGAAGATGACGCTTGGCGCAGCAGCTTGAAAAACCCATTGCGCTTGCCCTGCAGGCAAAACCGCCAACCTGCCAGCCAAGGCGGGCATCGCAGGAACAGGAGTCACCGCACCCTGGTTAGCAGCTGCAGGTGCCCGCACCAGGCACCTGCCACTGCAGCCTGGGCAGGCCCCAACTGGACAGCTGCCCTGAAACGAAAAAGAGACTTCAAACAGCACTTGAACATCTGGTTTCGGGTTGTCTGGTTCTGGAGGGACATCTGCTTAGCGGCGAAATCTCGATCGCGACGTTTCTGACGCCGAGCTCGCCAAGTATCTTGCTGCTGCAAGTGCTCTTGGGCACCCAACGGCTTGATGCATTTTCCCCCAAGCTCAGCAACACAAAACAAATAATTCCCTGCAGCAGCGGTGCCCAGAGATTCTGATTCGTCGCCACAGGTTTTCGCATACAGAAACAAAACCTCTGCGCGGGAAGCATTTCGAAGTCTGTCCCTATATCGAACAGTCCGCAGGGCACCTGCAGACCTGGGAGCCCTGGGAGCTTCCTCGGCCTCTGACTCGGACTCTCTGTCCTCAAGCTCACCGTCCCCAGGATCGGGAAGCCTAAAGATGGCAGGCTCTGCCATAGCACTATGACACTACACAACGAAAAGATCTGGCTTATCTTGGCTTATCCAATGTAACACCTCAAGCAAGCTAGGCTATGCCTACTGCCTACGTCCTCTTGCAAGATTGGATGATAAGTTGTCAAGCTGTCACTGTCACGTGAGTCATGTGCCTGAACTGTGCTGCGATTCGGATTCCCAATCATAAAACAGCCGACAAAGTCAGGAAGATATGCTTGCTTGCGGTTTGCAGTTTGGGTTGGCTACATCACAAGTTGTAGGTTTGTAGCTTTCACGACGATTTTGTTCCAAAACGTGCCGCGTTTTCTTGGGAAGGGACGATACTTGTTTGGAGAGGCTGTTGTTCTTGCGCTGACTGATCGATGGAAAAATAATCAAACCCTACTACAACAAATCATTTTCAAGTCCAGGGCTTGGAACCCATGCTCCAAATGCCCTGAACCCTCTTGCGCGTCACGCCCCCCGGGCCTAGATGAATCACTTATAGCTGGCCCTCGCGCCCCAACAAGCCCACAGCATGCGGCCGATCCGGATCCACCTCGTTCTGCACCCGGCTGCGAAGGACGGATTCCGCATCCGTGTAATATTGCGGAGGCCTGCGACGACATAGTTCTTCTACATCGCTACACACTCGCAACCAGCGATTGCCGTCATCCGACTGATCGTTAAATCCAACGATGCTGGATACCAGATGGCCAGAATCCGAATCAGCACCTGAACTTCGCAAGACGGCGTCCTCCAAGTTGCTGGCGCCGGCAGCTGGACTTCGCAAGACAGCGTCCTCCGAACCGCCGGCGCCGCGCCCAGGATCCGGATCAGCAACTGAACTTCGCAAGACAGCGTCCTCCAAGTTGCTGGCGCCGGCAGCTGGACTTCGCAAGACAGCGTCATCCGAACTGCCGGCGCCGCGGCCAGGATCCGGATCAGCAACTGAACTTCGCAAGACAGCGTCCTCCAAGTTGCTGACGCCGGCAGCTGGACTTCGCAAGACAGCGTCCTCCGAGCTGCCGGGGCCGCGATCCAGATTCTGTTCGTCTGGCTCGCCCTCCTCATCTTGGCCTTGCGCATCGGCCGGGCCCTTTTGCAAAAGTTCGCGGGCCAAGTAACTGTCAGCGGCCGTTTCCAAAACGCAGCCTTCCAGTGCGTCGACGTCGTCACCAGGAGTTAGGCCGGCCTCCAGCACGACCGACCTGTAGTAAGGCGACGTCTCGCGCAGCTTCTCAACAGCGGCAACATACTCCTCTCTGGGAGCTTGCAAAAGCTTGCTGGACCGCAGTTCCTGCTTCTTCTGCCCAACCAAAACGAACAAGATGCTCTCGGCCATGTCTTGGTCTTTGGGAGGCAGAGTAGCCTGGATGGCGCTAGGCCCAGACTGCGGCAGGAAGATCGTGTTACCGATGTATCCCTTCTGCCTCTCGTCTCGCGGCAGTGACAAAGGTTGCAAGACGGTCACCTGCATGCAAACCCGCACGATGGGAAGCAGCCGTTTTGTTCCAGCCGAGAGATTGCTGAGCTCGGGCAACACGCGTCCGATCCAAAGGTCGTTGGCCAGCGCATGCCTGGGAAGCGTGAGAATACTGCTCTTCAAACTCCTGCGACAGTCTCTGCAAACCGTACAGGGGTCCGTGAAAGATGCTGGCATGCGGCGGCGATGCAGCAGCAGAAACTCGCCTTCAATGTACGGATGCTCCACAGCAGAGGCCTTCAGTTCGGAAAGAGCTATCTGCGGCCAGCGCTCCGCATACCGAGCGACGCCCAACAATCGGCAAAGACGGTGCTGCTGATTCGGGGCCAGCGTCTCGGCGCCGGCAGGTACCTCGATTGTCGACGCATCTTCATCCGGCCTCTGCAAGAGAACCATGGAAAACAACTCGTTCATCCAGAAACGGCGAGCGCACACCACGCAGCCTCCTTCCGCTCGGCCACCGTCCATTTCAAGAGGGGATCGCAGCTCCTCGTCGAAATTGGCAGCGATTGCACGCTGACGACTCATCCCAGGCACCTGACTGTGATCGTTCCTAACACGTTATTACGCACGTCGACCCTTTACCGTAACCGAAAGCAAGAAGGCGCAGCATGCGACAAGAAGCCATCGGACCGGCATGCTCCACCATCGCCAAGATTTTCTTGCGGTATTCAACGAAGGCGCGCTCCACATCCAGCGGCCGCACGAGATGAGTGTCCACGACGTGTTGCTTCAGCTCCGATTGCTTCCGGCAACTGAAGTCGCATCAGCGGCAGCAACACCGTTCGCACGTCACCGAGGCATCGTCCGAAAAAGTCTGGAGCAGGCGACGAGCTACCGCCTCGCTTACGGCAGGTACGCTCCGAGAGCAATTCAGCAGCACAGCGACGCGATCCAGCTTCAAAGGCAACGACACCTCGGAGTCTCGCAAGATCCCGAGCGCTTCCCGCCCCGCCTCGTCCGCGTTCCGAAGCAAGTCTTCCACGGGCCAGAAACGTTGCTTCATACGCCTGCCCTCACACCAGCCGGGGACGGCGAACAGCACTGCCCGCTCCACGGCCGAACGCCAGAGAATGCCGTCTATCGCCTCCGAGCCATCACCAAGGCAGTCAGGTGCCAGCCAGCACAACGGATCGAAATCCGGCGGATAAGCCTTTCTCATGGCCCGGGCCCTCGCAGTGGCACCGTCAGGGTAGTACGCTTCAACACGCTTGGCCAGGACTGGATTCTCCTCTCGCGAAGGCAAACGGTAACACCCTTCAGTCGTCTGCCAGCCCAGAAGCTGATTCCGCAAGGTGAGCGTGTCTTTATCTATGCCTTGCTCGCTAGCCCTAGCTGCCGACACTGTGTTAGGATTGTGCAAGTCACGAATGCCGATGCCAGCCAGCGGGTGCAACAGCTCCGTCACCAAAAACCAAGCAAATTGCGACCAGTCTTCTGACTTCCGCACGTGCCCGAAGGTCTGGTACCAGTAGCAGGGTTCGTCCGGCTGTGCTTGTCGCTCCCAACCATACCGACGCATCAGCCCCCGAAGCAGTGTGGTATCGGCCCGATCGAACTTGCGAGTCCGAAACTTGTGCTGGATAATGCTCAGGACAGCCTGCCAGGACCCGGTGAAACAAACATGAGCGAGAAACGCACAGCAACGCGTGCGCACATGAAGCTACAGTCCAACTTAATCCTCATTATGTCCATGACCCCATGCACGATCACGTCCCAGACTCTCTATGTTTCGGGACGGCTTCGCGCGGGTTGCCTCCAACACCTCTTGGCGATCTTCGTCCCCGTCCGTTGCACACGCTCGCGGCTCCGCCTCGAGGTTGGCCAGATACCAGAGCCGGCGAGCAACGTCCACGGGGTCCACTCGCTCGAGGCAATCTGCAAGACGCCACCAACCTGTTTCCCGAACTCACACGCACAACGCACGACAGCAACACGGCATCCAAGACATTACACGAAGATCGTGATTTGCGATAATGCTCGCCTGTCCGCTGATCCACGTGATCTTCCAACACGGCTGCAAGAAGACAATGCTGCATGGAAGAAGTCAGACACGGCACGGTCGCGTCTCTCAAGCCGGCAACAGCAACCTCCCACGTAGAATGTAGAACTCACTTCTCGAGACAGCGCCGTGTCGACCTGTGACCAATGCTGCAGACTGTCCAGAATCTTTTGCGCAAGTAGATCTCTCTCCACATCGGAAGACAGATGTCTCGCGGAAAATGATTCTGCCGTGATGTCCAAGGAGTAGGCAACCGCAGATTGGCGCACGTTGGCATCCTCGAAGATGTCGGAAGCAGCTGCAACCACCGCTGCAGCATCCCGTGCTCCGGCTTTGCGAACCGCGTAGAGGCATCTCCACGTTAGGTACTTGATGTCACCGTCTGCACTCGGAACGCGCAGGGGGCACAACGCCATGACAATCCGCTGAATCAAGACCTCCTTGCTCACGTTCTCAAACGCCACACCCAGATCTTCGGCCACTCGCAGCAGACAGGGTCCGTCGGCCCGCAAGCGCAAGACACGAAGCCGCCCCCGAATTCGAGGTGGTGCCTTTTCCCCGAGCTCTCCTGCCAAGCGCCGCAAGCCATCTGCCGTGAAGAGGTCCTCGATATTCACCTGTAAGCACGGAAACACACACACACACACACACACACACACACACACACACACACACACACACACACACACACACACACACACACAAACATACACACACACACACACACACACACACACACACACACACACACACACACACACACACACACACACACACACACACACACACACACACACACACACACGCCCTCCTTCCCCCCGTCATACCTCCTCCTGCACGATGCCCAGCGACAAAGCTTCCAACAGATCCGCTCTGGAGAGCTTGCGCCCGGCTGACTTCTGTCGCACATCCGAAGCGACGCAGAGCTTAGCCAGCTCATCCCGACTCTGCTTCCCCAGCTCGGTGCGGAGCCAGGCTTCGCCCTGCTCGGCATAAC